TGTTTTTGCTCTACTACACACACACACACACACACACACACACACACACACACACACACACTGTTATGAGCGCTATGTAAACGAGGGAGTGCGCTGCTGGACTCACCTGCTGCTTCTGATACGCGGTGTCGGGGTTGATCTTGGACTCCAGCAGCAGAGAGCCTGCAGAAGAACAAACACACCGCGTCAGACGAGCTGCGCGACCGCGGGAGCTCCGTCAGACGCGTCGCTTACCGTCAGCCTCGCCGGTGACCGTCAGCGAGTCCGGCTCCGAGCAGCACACATGCCCGGTGCCCCGGTCCTCCCACTGCCGCTCCTCGTTCAGCGTGTACACCTTCACCCGCCGCCGGGTGTCGCTCATCTTTCCCGCACGAACCGAACCGAACCGAACCGAACCGAACCAGCACTAGCAGTCCTGACGCACAAAGCTAGCACTGCCTCGCCTCAGATCCGCGCAGCCGGCCGCCGCTCATCCTAACCCTGACTAATCCACACTAAACGAGCCGGAGCCTGGGTCCGGTTTGATCGGACCCTCGGAAAGACAAGCGTTTATATCACAACACTAACGTTAAACCTAAAGCTGACGCTACCTCCTATCAGTCATCTTCAACTCAGGAAAGCAGTTAATTAACCCTCAGATTGAGCCGAACCTCACACAACCCCGACCCATCCGAGCAGCACGGTACTCGGATGTTTAACCGCCTTCAGGTGTCGTTAAAGCTCCGATTAGCACGGAACGGCTCGAATCGTTCGAGTGTTTACGCGAATGTTCGTCTATCCGCCGATCGCCGCCATCTTGTGCGTCTTCTGAGGGCGCGGGGTTTCCGAGCGGGGGCTACGGCGGCCGCGCAGGACCCCGCCGTTACCATAGTTACCGCGAACTGAAGATGCTTACGGTGATTTGAGGAAGAGACTTTCAGAATTCTTCGTCACTTCAATTAAGATTATAATAATTGAATTTTATAGCACAGCCACCACAAAAACCAGTCTTTAGCAGCTCTTCTTTAAGATGATTCTGAGGTTGATGTAAACTCATAAGATGTAGTTTAATACCCAGCAAGCAATTTAGCGTTTAAAACGCGTCTATTAGCCGTCTAAACACAGACGTCTCGGCTAAAACGGCTGAACTTGGGCTGTCAGTGAACATCTAATAGACTCTAACCATAGCCCAAGCATAGACTAGTCATCAGTTAGCCCGCTGTTAAACCACTACATATACACAACAGGACAATCCATCCAAACAAACTCAATATACAGCTTTTATTAAGAAAAATAACATTTTTGACAACTTAAGACAATACAACATGATAAAAATACAAAAGAATTAATGACAAAATAAACGTTTATAAATACAATACACTTAAATATAAATATTATGATTTAAAAAATCAGGAATTTTTACCAACTTAAGATAATAAAAATGAAAAAATTAAATATTTTGATATTTAAAAGAAAAAAAAATCTAATACAAATCAAACCCATGTTATCACACTTAACATTAAAACATTATGGATAAATGACAACAACAAAAAAAAAGATGAACCCTTTTGTTGGTTTACTTTTAACAAATAAACCAACATTCACCCCTACCGTTTTATTTCATTATGTTTTCTGTTTGTACTGATTAGGTTTTAATGCTGCATTGCACATCTGAGCTATTTGCACTTATTATTTGTATTCTTAAGCTTTACTATC